ATCACCATGGATTAAAGTATATGTTAAGATCTTGAAATCAATTTTTCCCCTTACCATTTTATTTCTTAGGCTTCACTTCTGTGTGACTAGTGCTGAATTACTTTTTTTGTGGATAGTTTCACATGATATATGGGGAGATCTGAAGTTTTAGTAGCACGTAAGGAGATGAATAAATTACTGTTCGATTAGGCTAAAAGATATTGCTGAAAAGTACTTGTAACAAGATAATTGCAAGAGCCAGAGCTGAGAGTAACGCTCAACACTGGCAGCAGCTTAGTTAAACATGTGGTTAATGATGTTATAGGAAGAATGGGTATGTAAAATATTCAACTCTACCAGCAGTAAATATTCATTTTATGTGACAGCAATAGTGACTTGCTGAGACTGATATTTGACATACAAAACTCCTATAATTATTTTAATATCTTTACTTCCCAATTATTTTAATGATACGACAAAGATTTTAGGTGTTTGCTGAAACAGCACTACTGTCATTTACTATCAGTCAAACAAAATGTCATTCTAATTCATATCACTTCAAATGTCTGAGTAGTTTTCATACCCATTAGCTACTGTTGTAAAGAGTGTGCTCTTTTACACTTACAGACTAAAACTGACAAAGAGCTATATGGTAAACATTTGTTAGAACAGGCAATACAGAAAAGTATTTAAGTCCGGATTTTGCCGTCATAAGAAAGCAGTTTTATATAAAAGCAGATTTTTTAGTAAAAGCCTGAGTGTAAAAATAGAAAAGCAGCGTATGACTTTGTACCTTTAAGTTGGTTTATGAAAAAACAGGTAGTGCCTCATGGGGTTGATTGCTCGGTACTTTTCATTACAAGTTTCTTCAATCTCTTGAAAACATTGCCAAGTTTTGAACCATTCAGGATGGAGCTTTCCTGCCCTAGGCAGGAGAATTTTGGAAAGCTGCTTCCAAAATTCAATCACTCCTGAAGCAATATTCCATAAAAAGGAAGTTTCCTTGCCTAACATTAACCCATATTTCACAAGCCAGTGTTTTTTGTTTGGTGGTGTTTTGTTTTGGTTTGTTTGTTGGTTGTTGTTGTTTTTTTTTTTAACATACTTTTGCAGCAGGAACCTGAAGTTCTGCAGAATGATCATTTTGCTGTTCCAGGAGGTGCCTTTGATTAGCCTCTAAGATTTGTTCAAATTTGTCCTCCGTATAGAGCATGTTCTCAAGTTACGGCTTGTCAGCTGAGCTGTGGTAACTGACTCTGCGTACATTCCTCATTTGCCGAGTGGAATATGCTAATTCAAACCACCTTTAGAGGAGTTCATATTAAAGAGTTGTTCTTCACAGTGACAGCACACAAGCAGACATCAGCTCAACTTGAAAGCAGCAACTTTGCAGGCAGAGGAGCGTCTCTTTTACTATCAACATCCCACAGTTTAAATCAAGAAAGAACTTGGCAATTACGTTTTCTATACGTCCCTTCTCTGCTCAGTGTCCTCAGGCTGAAGGTATCGACACATTTTCTCCTCTGTGAACCGCTCAACTGCCAGGGATTAAAGTGAGCATAGAACAAAACAAAGCTGCATCTCAGTGCTCCTTTTCACATCCCCATTCAGAGATCAGAGTGGTCTCGTAGGACAGAGAGACGGTTGGTAACAGGCTGAAGAAAAATGGAAATAGAAAAGTAAAGAGCTGGAAGAGGGAGGAGAGCAACAGAATCTAAGGGTGGCAAGTGAAACAGAAGTTGGGCATGGGAGAAAACAATAATATGTGAGCATATTGCAGCAGATTTCAACCTCAGAGGAACCGTTGACATTATTCTGTACTAATTCTACCCCCCCAGGACTACAGCTCATTTCAAGAGTCTTTCCTCAGACCCTGAGACTCATATCAAGAACCCAAAACCTCTCTGCTCTGCTGTCAGCGAAAACCAAGCTAACCACCTACCACAGCATTCGTCACCACCCTCTGTGGGGTAGACACACACAAACTGCTGCTGCTTTAAGGGTAGAGATCTGTCCAAGTATGTACGTAGTAGATAAAGCTGTTGATCCAAATAAAGCGGTGGTTCTGTTCATCTTGTTTTAGGATTTTTTTTGCCATAACTGAGTCTACTACAGGGGTAGCTGGTGGATTTGGGCCCTGTTGTCCTTGACTGGCACCTGAATTCTCCATTACCATTTACAGTTTGGTCGCATTGAGAAAACTGGAGAAAAACCCCACTGCAATCCCAGGAAAACCCATCGATCAGCCACAGTCCCAGCTGCATGTGAGAAGTGTGAGTACATAAATTGTGTGATGAAATCTCAATGAGAGATACAGTGCTGTTCCCTGCACTTAAATCTTTTGTCATGACCTTAAAAACTGCTGTGTTTGTGTATGCTAAAACCCTTCCTGTGAGACAGAAATAACTGCAATTATTAATTTAGTCATCTGTGTAGTTTATAATTCCAGGACATTTAGAGGTAAGGCACTTTGCACTAGATATGCAATTTCCAAAGATAATACCTGACAAAACGAAGGCTTACAGTGACAGCATCACTGAGCTTTATCCTAAGGAGTTAAATGAGTTCAAAACCTATCATCAGTCACTGATAGGATCCGCTTCTATCTGCTTAAATCCTGCATAAAGTGCCAGTGAATTGTTAAAAGCTGAAGATGATAATTAGACAGCCTAATATAAACCTGTGAAAGAATGGTATTATTCGGAGTAAAGTGCTGTATTATTGCCATTTGTAAAGTAGTTCCCGATTTTGGCAGTACGTGTTACATTACTCTCTCCTCTCTTAATGGAATATCAGAGAAAAACCAAACTGAGCAAGCCATTGCAGATTCTGAGACCCTCAAAACACTGAGATTTCCTCATGAGACATTCCAGGCTTAGGTGCTAAAACACTGCATCAGAATTAAGTCATACCTCCTGGCATGAATCAGCTGCTAAATCCAGTTCAATCATGTGTATCTTTGATACAAATACCTCCTGGATAACTGCAGTGTGGAGTAAGGTGCCAAAGGAACCTCCAGACCCAGGTGCTAGAGGAGCATTAGCCTGAGAGTAAAAAAAAAACCAAAACGGAAAAGGAGGCACTGAAGTAGTTACAGGGTGTAACAACAACTTTGTCACCGGCAAGCGTCCGAGACGACGACACAGCGACACTGCCAACTAGACGCAGAATGTTTAAATGTTCAAAAGGCAATGAGGCACTCGATTATATCAGTTCAGATTCTTTGTGACTGCGCTGCTCCAGCGCCACTGGGGTTCCGCCGCGGCATCAAACCCTGCCAGGCGGACACCGGGCACACCTGGGCAGGTGGACAGCGACGCGCCCTCGCAGCGCTGCAGCTCGGGACGAAGCTTTCCCTCCCTTCTCGGGCACCGCGTTACTTCTTAGACATTTTCTAGATAAAGGAACTCAAACCAAAAAAGCCGAAAGAGTTCGGGGCTGCAGGACCCGAGTCCCAGCTGAGCGCGGGCCTCCCCTGCGGCTGTCACTCAGCAGAGGCTCGGCGCCTGCCGCAGCTCGGCACGGCCGGGCCAGCGCTTTCCCCTGGCGTTCCCGCCCGGGCATCGGTGCCGGACCCGCGGTGCCCGGGGCGCGGGGGGCGGGCCGCCGCTTCCCGGCTGACTCAGCCCCGCTCCGCCCCGCACCCGCGGGGGCGGGACCGCCCGAGGCCGCGCCCCGGCCCCGCGCTCCCGGCCCCCCCCGCCCGGCACGGACCGCAATGATTTAGAAGTTCAGGAATCCCACGTGACGTCACGGAGGGTGATGTAATGCTTCTCTAAATAGAACGTATTGTAACCGTCCCTCAGTCCAACGTGGTTCCTCCGGCCGCGCTGCCGGTCCCGTCCCCGCCGCACCGGGCGGTAAGTTCCTAAAAATACGGGGCAGCCCCGGGAAGGCGCCCGGCGCGGCGCGCAGCGCGCCCCGCAGCGCGCCCCGCACGGAGCGAGCGCAGCAGCGCCGGGTGCGCGGCTGGGGAAGGGGCAGCCTGCGGCTGCAGGGGCTCTTCCCTCCCATCTGCTCCGGAGGCGGCAGCGCCGGTCTCCGTCGCGCCGCTGCAGGGCGCGGGGTCCCGCCGCTGCCGCGTCCCCGCCGTGCTCGGGAAGAGGGGGCGTGAGCGACCCCGCGTCCCGCGGAGGGTCGGGCAGGGCAGAGCGGCGGGGGGCGGGAGCGCACGGCCGCCGAGACGCGGGGAAGCCGGACTCCCCGTCCGCACTTCAGGGAGTTTGGGAAGTCTGCGCGCTGCTTCCCGGGACGGGACGGGATGGGATGAGATGGGGCGGCCGCCGCGGAGCGCAGGCAGCACCTCGCTGGTGCAGCCCCGAGCGGAGCGGGCGGGCGGTCGGGCAGCTCCCGGCGGAGGCACGGCGGAGTCCCCGCGCCCACGGCGGGCTGGACGGCTCCAGCCTCAGCGTGCCCCGGCGGCACCCGGCGGTGACAGCTCGGCGGCGCGCTGCCTCGCCATCCTCTCTCCCCGCCGCCCCCAAAACTTCTGGATAAGTTTCGCGGCGGCGGCCGCGCTTCCCAGCGAGCCGGGAGCAGCCGCGGAGCGGTGCGCGGCCGCCTTCCCCGTGAGACACCCCGGGTGCCGGGCTGCTGCCGGCCCTTACGTCATGCTGCGGGCCGGTGCGGGGCTGATGCTCCGCTTCTGGTGCCCTCGGGTGCGGGGCGGGGGCGAGTGTTGACAAGGTCCCCTCTCTGCAGCCCTCCTCTCCCTTTACAGCCCCTCTACTCCGCTCATCGTCCCCCTCCCCAGCTCCGCTTCCCCCCGCTACTGTCCTCTCTTACAGGGGTCTCTCTCTCCCCAGCGAAGTTTTCAGGACGATAAGCGCTGCAGGAGTGTAAGGGGAATACTTGCTAAACTCTGCCTCCTCTATTATTTATGTCCGAGCATGGTGAGTGATCCTTCATCTCTAGGGCTCAATATAAGCTTTATAGTTGGAAAGAGAGAGGTTGTTTCAGAGATGGGGGCAGGAATAAAGGAAAATGAAATGTCCATATGTTGTTTGGTTTTTCTTTTTTTTTTTTTTAAATCCAGACCGATATGAGAAGTGACTTAAGCAGCAAGATTAGAAGATTTCCATATATTATCAGTAAGAAACAGTGCTTAGCTAGATGAAATTGAAGCTTGAACAGAAGAATAGTAATTACTGTGAAGCATCTTACTTGGGCTTTCCTTGAGACTGCAGTATTTAGAGAAAGATTCACCCACTGGTGTGGACCAGACTTTTCCTTGTCTGGCCATTTGGACAAGCAGCAGTGCGTCAAGGAACAGTGGTGTAGGAAAACTTTCTTGTAAGATATATGCAGGGATAATCCAGAAACTGGACTGAAAGAAAACTGAGAGGTGGAAAGTGAGAGCTGAATGCAAAAACGTAGCGTAATTTGTGGGAATTTTGCTGAAGGAAGTATGCTTCCATAAGGGTACAGTTTATTTTCAGTATAAAAGTGTACAGTGGTGAAAGTCCCCGCTCAGTGTTTTGTGACTTTCATGTGGCGAATGAGGTTGTCGGTCTGAAAAGCTGGAAATTCTTAATAAAAAATGGCTAAACTCCTTATTTGTGACTCCTTAATCCTAAAGGGAGCTGTACAGGTCGCAAAGCACTAGGGAAAAGTGTGATTAATGATCGGTGATTAGTGATAAGTGATTAGTGGTTTTATTCAAACTGTTACCTCTGACCAGAAGCACACATCAGAGGATTAACAGGCTCTTTAGATAAATGCTCATTAGTGGAAGGGGGAAAGCAAAGATAATAGGCGTGCACACAGGGACAACTTTCTAGGAAAATCATTCCTGTCTCTGGCATAATAAGCTCTATTAGTCGAAAGGCTCTTTAATTTAAAAGTTGCTTTTATCTTGTAAATCAAAGATGGATGCAGAAGTTTGCTGCGCTATTATAGCCTAAATTTTCCCATATCCACTAGATGTGGATTATCTCAGTAGTGATATTTTATTAAAAAAAACCCCACACCGCAATTGAATCTGTAAGAAACTGAACATTCCCAAGGGCTAAAGCCCTGCATCCCGAGGCATCTGCTCCCAAAGCCTGCTGCTGGCAGCTAACTAGATGGCGCAGTCCTGTTGTATGTGATTATACACTTCTGGGTTATGAACTTAGCAAGTAGCAGCTTGCTAGGTGTCCTTCAACACTTAAAACAAAGTTGATTCTGTGCTGGGTTGGAGGCTAGACAGTGCTATGAGTTTGTAGTCACATTTTCCACTTCAGTTAATCTAGGGAGTTAAAGGCTGCTGGAAAAATTAGTCTCATTTTCTGAAAGAGATGGTGAGAGAAAGAAGAAGAGAATGAGAGAGGGGCAAATAGCTACAGCCCGGGACATAACTCTTGATTGCACTGTTTTGTACTGCGTAAATGAAGTACAGTTCTGATGGCCCTAATTAATGAAGCCTGAAAACTCCTGGAAGTTTTTCCCCCAGCTATCACTGGCAAAGTTGTTTTTTTTTTTTTTTTTTTTTTTTTTTTAATAAGTCACTAAAAAGAAGGAACAGTTGGTGAGGTGGTTAAACAAAACAACTTGGACCTGACTGTGCTTTACAGATTATGGTAAGGAGCCTGTTTTTATGATAACTAATCAGGGATTTTTCATTACTCTTAATTATACATGGCTTGGAAAGAGCTGATATCTACTGCTCTCAATAGATTTGGGGGTTCCTTTGTCCCATTAGCCTGCATGGGATTTATGTTTGGTTTCAACTGTGGAGATCATAAAAATTTCAAAACTTAAAAAAACCACTTGAGTGAAACAGGAAATAAAAATAATGAACTTATGGCATGTAAAAGAAATCGCTGTAATCTCCTATTGTTACATCTTTAATTGGAGACTCTTAGGTATAGTCAGGCTAATGCTTAAAATCAAAAAGTTTTGTAATAGCATATAAAAAAGGCAATAAGCGCTGTCTGCCAGTCTTGAATATTGGATGGCACTTTTCCAGGATTTAAAATTGCAATATTTTTTAAAGTTTACACATTTAGAACAAGCGGAAACCTTTTCCCCCTTCCAAAACACCCATTTATAGTTCAGCTTCAATTTATCACACTCCTGCTAATTTAACCCAGGGAATGTAAGGGGAAAGAAACTATGTATATACGTTTAAAGAAAAGATATAAGCGAGATTGTACATGTAATTTTATTTCTATCACCACTTAGCAGAATGACTTACACAGATAAAAAGTAATAGGCGCTTTTTAAATTTGATATTCACTTCCTCACACTGAGAATCTGAAATGTGCTGCAATCACATTTATCCTGTTCACTGCTGAGGAATCTTTCTGTAAGAGATCGTTGCTGTGAGAGCTAGAGTTCACTCTGGAGTTGATAAGAGAGAGGTAATCTCCCAGTGTCAGAAGGCAGCTTTTACATACTAAACCTTTCAGCTCTGTGTGGGCAGAATCTCTCTGAGCTCAGTAAGTCTTGCAGGATGATTTGAAACTGGGTTATTAACTTGTCTCCTTGTGGCCCTCTTCTAAAAACCTGTCTCTGTGCCCCTAATCAGGGTATGAGGATCTTAACTATTAGAAGAATTCTTGCAAGGTTGCTGTTGCTTTTAAAACAGTTCCTTTAGTCAAGGACTTTTCCTCTACTCTGTCATCCTGTGTCTCTAATTTCTGCCATTAGTTACTTTCCGGATTTCCTATAAACCTGTTGCTGTGAGGGTTTATACCCATGTTTATGTATTATTAGTTGTCTTTCAAGCTTAATTTTAATTACAGTGACCATCTTTCTTATAAGCTCTTTATTGTGGGAAAACTATTTCGGAACAAGATTTTACAATAAAAGAAGAGCAAAACTGTTTTTACTTCAAACATTTAAAAATTATTATTGAGGACCATGTGATTTATTATTGGAACAAACTGAGTTTTTCTCTCAAGGCCTGTGAACACTGATTTTTGTTGTAACTCATTACAGGAATACTTAGTAAATGCAGTTGCTGGAAAAGCAGATGTATAAAGCAACAAGTCTTTCAGTTCTGCTTCACAGGTCTAGGTGATTCTTTTGCTTTGATTCTATTTTGGTGGTCACATGCTAATCAAATTAGTAGGCAGACATATATAACTAAGCCAGCCTTTTTGGCTTAATCTTTCATGTAAACTCTTATTGATACAAACACATAGGAGTCCTAGTAGAAATATTTAAAATGTTTTGAGATTCTGTCAGTCGTAATTGCTAACTTCAGGGCCGATCACAGAGCTTGGTAGGTCACTCTGCAGTATCTCAAAACAATTCCTGTTGATTTGCCCTCTCTCTATGCTGCAAGCTATTCAACCCGTGTCCTCCCCCTCCACCCCCATCCCCCCTCATTTCTTGGTAAATTATCTCAGCAAATTATAATGCTCCAGAGCTTTTATGGCTCTAGGCTTAAAAAAGAACTTTTAGGGCTTTTGCATTTCTCTGCCTTGAGAAATTATCAAAGTTAATCACAAATTTAAAACAACAGTTTGGAATAAGAACTACAAAAATGTATTTTTTCCTCTTACCAAAAGTCATATTACTATGCTAATTTACAATTCTGAAGGTGTGGTATTCTCTGACACAGACAAAACAGTGATCTCAGACAATATGTTATCATGCTGTATTTTAACTTCAGCTACGTTATAGCAGTAAGTACAGAAATTAGCTTCCGTAGACTTGACATGTAAAAACAAAATTCTGTTATGGAAATACTTTTATGTTTTGGTTACACATGCAATCAAATAAATTATTTAAATAGTCTCAGGTATACATAACAAGCACAACATAACATACATAAAATAATTGTTTTGGATATGTGATGAAAGGACTTGTTGAAGCAGATAAGCTCTTGTGTCTTTTTACACCCGCGGAGCTCTTGTGTTGGTTTTTGCACTGATTGTTTTGCTCCTATTATGGCTCAGGTTGATGGGGCAACCCTGAAACTCTACAATAATACTTAATCTCCTGTTTTTCTCTAAGGTGTTATTTTAGTCTGTAATTAAACTTACCAAGAGTCAGCATTCCTTTACTAGCCGTTGCATGGGAAATGCAGGTGTTATTTGCCCTTAGAGAGTTAAGAAAGGGTTGGTTGTATTGGTTTGTAGGTTTTTGGGTTGTGATATCAAATGCTATTTCATAAACACAAAGAGATTTTCCAAGGATTTTGCTGAAGGCTGTAGGATTTTCAAAGTAAAACACTGAAAGCTTACAACAATTTCCTTAGCTTAGAAGATGTTTTGCTTTTGGTTCTTGTTTCCGTCTTACACTTTTTTGAGAATTTGTTCAAGAAGTCGGTCCCACACACCACTCCAGAATAAATGCCTTGAAACACTGTCACCAGGAGTGTTTGTGTAGGTGTGTAGTTTTAAGAATCTCTTCCTTTGAGACAGTTCATGTCACTGTCGTGCTGCCCTGACACATAAGGTGATTTTAAGGTGTGGGGTGCAGCCCTGCTTGGCCAGAGGACTCCAGTTTGTGAGTGATAAAAATGGCAACGTCTTTAGAAGAAGCCAGAAGGAATGAGATTTGAATTTAATTGGGAAATAATACTACAAATCCTCTCTCACCTTTGCCAGCAGATTCTGCTTTTCTTTAGCTCTGAATGTTTTCATTGCTCTTACTGGGATACTGAGACCTCTGCTAGCTCAGGAATTGGGCATGGTTTGATCTCACCTGCAGCTTTCTACCCTGCATAAACTCTACAAATAGTTTCTACTGCCTTTTTAACCTTTTCAGTGTTTTCTCAAGCAGCTTGCTTTTCTCTCATCTCAGCTTCTTCCCTTCCTAAAGGCCTTGTCTTTGGGTGCCACCACTCAGTGAACATTTCAATGCAGTTGAAATGTCTGGTCCCAGTCTCAGTATGTTTGTGTATTTTTAAGTTTTCTGTCCAGGGATGTACTGAGTTCGAACTAGTCATCCTTAAATACACTGCATAAAGTTTGTACAGAGATATGTAATTAATTTGGCCCATCTTTTCTCATTTAGAGGAAGCTGCCTTTATTGCTGTTTACTTTGTGGGCTTGAGCCTTATTTATTCTGTCATTGCATGTAAGGTAGCATTGTTCACCGCCACCTTTTCCTGAGCTGTTTGCAAGTACCCAGAAACTAATTTGTCTTTTCTGGGAAATGAACTTGGACCAGTGGCTCCTAGATCTAACATCTGATTTTTTTTTTTTTTTTCCTGCTGGTCTAATGTAAAGAATGCTAGTTAATCTGCTCAACACAGGGGGCTCTGTAGCACAATAAACAGCATCTGAAATTGGATTTGGGATGCGTTGTATAAGCAGCTATAACAGTAAGCAATAAATTGAGATGTTGCTGTACTGTATTACTCCCTCTCTTTTATTTCTCCTTTTCTGTCCTTTAAATCTTTCATTTCCGGACTGCTGAAAATACTACCTGTAGAGTAATATTCTGTTTAAGTAAATGCTCCAAGGTATGGATGATGATATTAGTAGGTCACTTGGTCATGCACTGATGCTGCAAATCAGCTGCTAGTAATTCAGTCATGGCTGAACTAGTTTGCAATCATTCCCAGTCCAAATATGCCTCTCACTTAACGTTTCAAAAAACTTTTATGCAACAGCAATGCTCTGTTACTAGGTGCAGAGCTTTAAGTTATGAGTGACCTCAAGTTGCACCAGAAGAGGTTTAGCTTGCATATTAGGAAAAATAATTTCTTCACTGAAAGGGTTGTCAAGCATTGGAATAGACTGCCCAGGGAAATGGTTGAGTCACCATCCCTGGAGATAACTACAAGATGTGTAGATGTGGCAGTTGGGGACATGGTTTTGTAGTGGATTTTGGCAGTGTTGGGTTAATGTCACAACTTAAGGGACTTTTCTAACTTAAATGGTTCCATGATTCTTTAATAGTAAATCATACCTCCATAGGTACTACTCAGAATTAACTTTAAAAAATTGGTTTGGTTATATCTGCTTTTGGTTCTGGTCAAGTCAGTGAATGAGTTTATCACGATTTTTTTTAGGTGCTCTGCAGGAATTCCAAAGGTGGCCTGAGTGTGTGATGGCAAAGAGCCTGGAATTGTGCTTGTCCAGAAATGGCACTGGCTGTGTTAGAAATTTGGGCTTGCCAGTATCTTACTTACAGGAAACTTCTTTTCTTGGGATGGTTGTAAAATACAACCTGAAAAAACTCAAAGTGGAGCAATGGACTAGAAACAAATCATCATTTGCTTTTTTCAATACTACCTTTTTCCTATTGTTTAACTATTGTTTAACTTCATTACTGAATGAATGTTTTAGGAAGAAGAAATTCTGCTTAAGGGTTTGTGATAATTTCAATCATGACATCAACTTAATTTTTTTGTGACTTAGGAAAAAAGCTCATTTTGTTGGCAATGATTTGGGCAAGGGGGGAATGGCAGTTGCACATTTTTGTTAAAGATTGAAGAGATCAGGATCAACAGCTGTACAGACTTCCCTGATTTTCCAGAGTGCACAAAATGAGGGAAGAGATTCTGTATTTAAAAACAAGTTACGGAATTTTCCATCTCTTCTTACTTCTGTATCCTTAAGTGTATCAGAGTAGCACTTAAAAGTTGTTTTATATATGTTATTAAATAAGGCCAGTG